CTAATCTATTCTATTATCATTGTCTTTGTTTTATTCCGCATACTCCTACACTCCTTCCTTTTTTTCACCTTGGTGCAGAGCTCCCAATCTGGGACTCCATTTTCGCTGCAAAAAAAACCCCAAATGTCGCACCACCCGCCCGCCCACTGTCCGACCATTTCGCTCGCCGCCTGGTTGCGGTTGGGATTGTTGATAGGGCAGAAAGGTGCGCCCAACCCAGCGACCACATCGCTGGAAGTCGCTCCGTGAGAGAAGCCGCCATCGTCGCCGGCCCATGTAGCCCACGCGCCCACCTCACGGCGAGATCCACTCGCTGTCGTTGCCATAGACAAAGTCGTCGGAGCCTCTTGAGTCTGTTCCTAGGGTCGGTGACGACCCGTTTGGACCTATATTTGAGTAGATATGAGTTTTAAGTTCTACTCCTTTTCTCGGTGTGACCTACATGCCGTTGTCGTCTCGGAAAAAGTTACCGGAACTCCTGGTTGCGTCTACGGGATGTCTGAAGTAAAAATTATTCCTTTGGGTTCTAATGACCTACCAAATATAGGGGGTACCTGTCGGTTGGATGGTCAGAATTTCTTAAAATGGAGCCAATTTATTCGAAGGGTTCTCAAGGGTCGTTCAAGACTTGATCACATAGATGGAGGAGGACTAGGACCAGACGACACTCATTTTTCAATTCTGGACAATGAAGATTAGTAATTATGACTGGTGGTTGGACAATCCATGATTACTTAGATAAGTAGAAATTATATGTTTCATTCTTTCTGCAAAAGAAATATGAGATGATTTACAGAGTGCTTTTTTCATTAAAGATCTCAAGCGCTTGAAGCAATGGTTGAATCAATCAGTAAGCCCTTTGGATTCATGTACTCCGTCCATAAAAGGTAAGTTTTGTCTCAATACTATTGGTCATATGTATCAAGGTATTTGGATCCTTGATTCGGGTGCAACTGATCATATGACACCTTTTAGTGTGTCCTTCGACTCATATGGTAAAAGAAATTAAGAACAACTTATAACAGTTGCGAATGGTCACGGGTATACCTATATGCGGCTCCTACGAATAATATTTTGGACTCAATCTATTGTAGTGAAGCGATGTTTACATGTCCTCAATAGCTAATAGTCTTATCTCTGTGCAAAACTCCAAAGGATTTAAATGTTCAGACACATTTTTTCGCAACTTATTGGTGATTTTTCAGGATCTTGCCACGGGGAAGACAATTTTAAATTGCTAAGGAGCAGAGTGAGTTCCTATTTTTTCAGAGGTTTGATGACCAACAGCACACAAAACATCACATGAGTCAACAGCTACATCATCTGAAATGGGCAAAATGCCAAATATGGTTACATCATCAAAGGCTTGTGCAACCTTCATTAGTTTAATCAAGTCACTTGTTTCCCCACTTCTTTACCGAAGTTTTTCAAATTTTTGTTAATTTTTTCCATCTTGTCCAAAATCAATTTGGCACAAATATCAAAAGAAATAGGTGCTGATACATGGTACTGAATATGTGAATCATGGATTATCTCATTTTTTTCTCATAAATGGTATTGTTCATGACACTAACTTGTGTAACACCCCTCAACAAATGGGTTGAGAATGAAAGAAAGAATCGTCACTCTTCTTGATAGTAACTAGAGCTCTTCTTTTCTCAAATTGTCTTGTTCCGAAAAAATTATTGGGGAGATAACTGTGGTTGCTAACGTGCCACAAATCTCATCAACACAGGTTACCCACTACGTATCTTTAAATGACTTAGTGCCCTATAGAGTCTCTATTGTCTTTTTTCCTTCTTCTTCCCTACTAACGAGTCTACTAGCTCGGTCTTTGTGTGTTGCTATTTTGTTCACTCTCATCATCCTAACCGTGGTAAATTATGATCCCAAAGCTCTTAAATTGGTATTTATGAGGTATCACTTCTAATAAAAAAGGTAAAAATGTTACTCATCCGCAAAGTCGTTCACGTCTTATCCACCATGGATGTCACCTTTCATGAACATCAATCCTTTATGTCAGTCCACCACTTCAGGGGGAGAAAAGAACTTGAAGTGGAGAGAATCTCCTTCTGTCATTCCATGTTTGTCTTGCTGCAGGATGCCCAAGACTTGAGCAATGAAGCTACCATAGTCCACAGTACGGAAGAAGAGAAAAGACAGATTTTTTGGCAAAAAATATGAAAGAAGAGAACAACCCACTTCGACTATTGAGCAAGAAAAATTGTCTACTCCGAGGTGAGGATCCCTGAAGATAACAATGAGGAGGAGGTAAGTATTACTGAGGATTTACCCATAAGAATTACTGAGGATTTACCCATTGCATTGAGAAGGGAAGAAGATCCTGTGCTAAATATCCTATTTCTCAGTATGTTGGCACTAAACAATCTCCTGTATAAGCCACAAAAGTTTTATTGGCTGCCATTGATGCCACAAAAATTCACTACCGCAATCCAGGAGGCCCATGAAACTTGAACATTGGAATCAAGCCATGAAAAAGAGATGAATGCATTAGAAAGAAATGTCAACTTGGGGAGTTTGTGATAGAGACGCACAAGACAGAATGTAGGTGTAGATGGATATTCACATGAAACATATTACAATGGGGACAAATAGAAAGTAAAGTATAAAGTAGATTGAGTGGCAAAAGGATATACCCAAAATATGGAGATGATATGAGGAGAAATTTGCCCCAGTGGCCAAGACGTGAATAACATTCGAGTTATTCTCGCTTTGGGGCTGCTCATTTTGGATGGGACTTACACCAGCTGGATGTGAAGGGAATGTCTTTCTTCATGGAAATCTAGAAAGAAGGTAGGTAACATGGAGATTCCCCCAGGTTTGTAAGTGAGAAAAATGAAAGAAACAAGTATGCTCTTGAAGAAAGCATTGATGGTCTTAAGCCAGTCCGCTAGAGCATGGTTTGGAAGATTACAAAAGCAATGGTTTCCTTGGGATACAGACAAAGCCAAGGAGATCAATCTCTATCATAAAGCACTCTTCTACCGGTAAACTCACTCTATTGCTTGTCTATAGTGGATGATATGATTATTGCAGGAGATGATGAAACAGAAAAATTGGCAATTAAAAAAAAATTGGCAGCTCTATTTGAAATGAAGACCTAGGAAAACTCAAATATTTCTTGGAATAGAGGTTGCCTACTGCCTTCATCCCCAAAGGAAATATTACTTGTCTCCTCAAAGAAACAGGAAACTAGGAGTGTAGTACCTCAACAGGTTGCTATAGAAAACGAGATGCAGCAGAATTGCGAAGTGAGAAAGTGCTCTGTAGAGAGGCCAATTTCAGAGATTGGTGGGGAAATTGATTATCTATCACAACACAAGCACAGACATGCTTATGCCAGTTATGCATACTGGTCATTATGCATGCATCAGAAGAAAAAACATGCAAGCAGTTGACCAAACATTCTCCAATACTTGAAGTCAAGTCCAGGAAATGGGCTATTATTCAAAAGAAAAGACACATTGACTATGAAGATATATACTGATGCTGATTATGCAAGTTCTATTACTGACAGAAAATCTATTTCTGGGTATTGTGTATTTGTTGGAGATAGTCTGATAACATGGAGAAGCAAAAAGTAAGATAGAGTATTCCGTTCTAGTGCAGAAGCTGAATTTCGAGCCCTTGCTCAAGGAATGTGTGAAGGACTCTGGATGAAAATCATTTTGGATGATCTTAAAGTCAAAGTGGAGAACCCGGTGCATCTTGTGACAATAAGTCTGCTATGAGCATAGCCCATAATCCAGTACAGCATGATAGAAGCAAACACATTGAAATTGACAGACATTTCATCAAAGATAATCTTGACAGAGGCTTTGTGATTACAACTCATATTCCTACAAAACTTCAAATAGCAGATATTTTTACAAAAGGACTTCCTCAGAGTAGATTTCAAGATCTTGTAGGCAAGTTGGAAATGATTGATATTCATTTACCAACTTGAGGGGGAGTGTTGTAATTTGAGATAATATCTTTAGAATCTTCCTAATTAGAGGAAATAGATACATAATCTTTTATTTTATTTTATTTTTCCTTGTTTTCCTAGTTTCCCTATTTACTTTTTTAGGAGAAATAGATTATTACAAATAGAGGGTATGAGAATTTATTTTTTAATGATTTGAGAATAATAAAATAAGTCTTATTTTCAACTGTGGTCTTTAAGAATGTACAGTTCTCCTACATACTTTGGAATACTTCTATTTGTCTTACAGGGGAAGCATCTAGTAAATTTACAGAGACATACGCATTCTATGTTGTATGTGTCTAGTACATAGTTTTTCTTTTTAATCTTTTCTTCTTGGTCTTCAATTATTTAGCTAGAGTATTTCTCATCCTCTATCTGTAGTTTTTCCTTTATCTAAAAGTTAGGATAAAAAAAAACAATGCAGGTTTTCAGAGGTTTTTATTAAAAACTAAATTTGATAGCCAAAAAAAAAGGGCTTAACACAAGAGATGAAGAAAGATATCATGATCAGAATTCTGACATACCACATAGCATAGAAAGAGTTGTGGTCTTTCCAGCTCCATTTGTTCCTAAAAAGCCAAAACATTCTCCTTCCTGAACTGAGAAAGTTAAAGAATCTACTGCAACCTTTCTTCCATGATGCTTCTCCTCAAAATATACCTTAAATTCAGAAAATACCACTTTAACTTAGGATGACACAATGATTTGAAATGCACATTATTTTTCTTTACACAAAATCATGTTTAAGTAAATAATACTAGGAAATACCTTGCGAAGATTGCGCAGGTAGATAATGGAATTGTCAAGAGAACCTGAAAGTACTCTATTTCTTTCTGCTTTTACATCTACATCTTCATCGAAGTCCGTAACAACAGTTTCAGAGGAAGATTCCAGCAGAGGTTCCAAATAAGGACTAACATGCCGGAAGATATTAATTTTTTCCCACCACTTTTTGATCATGAATGAAGTCAATTTGATAGAAGGTAAAATTTCAAGTGCAAGTGTCAACAGAAAATAACTAAAGCTCTGTCATCAAGAAAAAAATGGATTAGCAAAATATTTTTGTCCCAATTTAAGTGTATTTTATATCTACTGATGTTGATGAGGTTATTCTGAAACAAAGCAGCTATTACAGCTTTGTATTTTCAATGTAATAGATGCTGTTTCCCAATAACAACATTTTAGTTATAGGTTCTTAAAATCAGCCTCTAAGAGCTGATGTAAACAACTTTTAAGTTTTAAACTTTGATACATGGAATACGAAAAGAAAAAAACACAATAGCAGCAAAATTAGACCGAGAGATGTGCACCTCAACAGCTAGATAACAGATGGAAGCCCCAGTAACATTCCAATCAAACACTCCATCACTTGTTTTATCTTTCATTCCTTGCCGCAAAAGAGCTAATGAAGCAAGACCATCCGCAAAACAAAATCCAGGAGATATTCTGAAAAAATTCTGGAAGAGAACATCAAATGCATATTGACATCATGTATTTTCCCAAGTGAATGAAAAAATTACTATTCAAGCAGCTAGAAACAAGATATATATCATTTCCAACAGTGTTCTTTTTCTTTGTGCCAATTAAATCACAACAATATTTTGCTAAAAGATATAATTTATTTCAATCCTAGAATCCAACTTCCTTTTACAAGAAGTTGCCCCAATCCCTTTTCATATATATTGTTAAATTAGAGGAAAATCTTCCTAATTAGAGAAAATATTTGTAAAATCTTCCTAATTAGAGAAAATATATATAGAATCTTCTAGTTTATTTTTTAGTATATTGTTTCTTTCTTTCCCTGTTTTAGAAGATTAAATTATTACAAATAGGTGTAAGGAGAATGTAATAGAAACGAATGATAATAATAAAATTCATTCTCTTTTCAAGTTATATATTGTAGGACATATGTCTTATTTGTGGTCACCCTTTGCCCACCTTGTAGCAGCTTCCTAATGAAGCTTCCTTAAATGCATTCTCAAAAATGGTTAGTCCCACACCAAGAGATATGACAAACAGAGCGTATACAACTTAGGCAATTATGACTATTGGGAGAAATTCAAATACCACCAAGACTTGAAATAGAGCCTGAAAAAAAGTAAATTAATGGAGAAACCAATTTTGTTGAATTAAGTTAGGCCCAAACCCTAATTTTAACATTGTGTGTCTATCCTAAATCCATTAAGGCGGTTGTGTGTATAGAGAGAGCAAGCCCACCATCGATGAAGATAGAGCTTGAAAAAAGTATACAGATAGGGGAGAACTCTCATAAGTCAAGGTTGTAGGGTAGAATTAGACCCAAACACAAACTCTAAGACTCATTTTATGAGCCAGTTTCGTAAGATTGCTAAAGCTTTGATTACATAAAATAAAGAAATAAGATATGATTTAATTAGGTCAAATAGGAAAATATCATAACCAAGATTGTCAAACTAGAGAGTTTACATAAGCTCGTGGAACTTTGTAAATTCAAATAGTAAACTCGTAAGAGTTTACTTCACATAAAAAAATATTAAAGTACAAATAAATCAAATAATAATTTAATATTATATGACACTACACATAACATTTTATATTTTTCTACTAGAATATTATTATTATTATTCTTAGTTTATCATATTATATATATTTTTAAATATTTGTTATATTTTCTAATATTCTTCTCCTTTTATCATTATCCTAGTTGATTATATGATATATTACGCATTACACAAAAAAGTTGTTGGACTTAAATGGAGGCCCAATTTTCCAACATAGCAAGAAAGGAGTAAAAATCAAAAGCCAAAACCCCTACGTTTTAGCTTGTGCTGCCAACCCTATATTTTGAAACTAGAAAGAGAAAGGAAATGGGACTTGTGAGGTGGCAAAGTGTGGAGGAGATTCAGAAACACAAACAGAGCAGACTGGAGCAGGGTTGAGAAGAAATCACGAGATATCTATAGGAGAACCCAACATCAACACCCATAGACAAAAACTTTATAGAGCAAACCCGTGATAGATTTCGTTCCTCACTGTAAATATGAGTATTTACATGAGTACCAAGATAGTTACAAGCAAGTGATCATAGAACCATCCTTCATGACTTGTTATTTCACTCTGACTTCCTCTATTGGGTAAATAATACAATTAAAAAATCTTTTGCTCTCTGGCAGTCACTATGCCCTTTGAGAACTATTGCTCTCTAACAAATGTTACACACTCCAAACAATTTTGTTCTTCAGCAATAGTTTTTGCCCGCTGAGCACTTTTGCTCTCCACCAACTTACCTTTTGAGCATTTTGGGACTTTGGAAACCTGTATTCACTTTCAGGATTCTTTTTCACTATCACACTGTCCAAGCATTTTTTTCATCTCAAGAAGCCAAGCCCATTGAATACTTTTTGCATTTCAGCAGCCATTGTGCCTTCTAAGCCTTTCTGCTATCATTTTTACTACGTTATTAAACTCACAACCAACTGTTACTAAACTCAAGATAAACTGTTGCAACATGCTGCTAGTTCCTAATGCATCATCTTCATTCACTATCCCACACCAAATCAGCACATGAGGCTTCTCCATTGCTGGTTTCTCAGCATGTCATCTTCACACACCTACACAAAATTGATTTGTAATGCTTTATAATGATTGATTTTGTCAGCTCTAGCAACCAACTAGTTGACATGTTTTCCAAATCAGCACGTGAGGCTTCTCTATTGCTAGTTGGCATGTTCGCCAAGTTCCTCAAGGAGTCTTGTAACAAACATGACAGATGCAATACAGCATGAGGGGTAATGTTAAGGATATGATATGTTTTGATCACATCAAATAGGGAAATGTCTAGATAAATATTTCTCATTATTAGTGATTGATTTTGTTCCTTAGGATAAACTAGAGTAGTCATGTGTACACACTCCACAATTATACAATTACATGGTAATAATAGATATTCATTCAAGCTTGAGGGGGAGTGTTGAGTTATGAAAAGATATACTGTTAGGTATCTGGTTTTGAAACCTAACTAAGACAACTCACTCACACAATCACAGCAAGAAAACAATTGGAAAAGAATGAATTATCTATATCTTCATCAACAAAAGTAGTGTTCAATCAGTATATGGGAGCATAACCTCCTCAATCTAACGGGAGCCTAACCCCCCTCACAAGGTCCAAGACCTGTCTATACAAAAGAATATGACAAACTTCCTTCCAACAATGAATAGAACTCAATTTATACAAGACCTCCCTTCCCTACTTTCCTAACTACTAAAACAGTTAGGATATTAACACTGTATTAACTCTTCCTTCTCTCTTAAACCCATTATCTCCTATTACTTAGATCCTATCATATAATGAGTTTTTAGGAGATATTACCAATCTCTGCAATTATTACATCTAAGATATTAAAAGAAACTAAAGATATTATAAGACGCTAAAGGAGATGTTGTAATCATTATTCCAGGGTAGTATAGCTCTATATGTACCCTCTTGCCAGGGTTTACAATTGAATTAATTGAATCCGAACTTTTTTCTCATACACCTAAACTCTTTTCTAGTGTGTGTGTGTGGATATATATAGTAACAATGACAACCCATGACAGTGACCACTCACTAAAAACATAAAATATCCAGATCTATTACTCACCACATGAGATAGAAAGAAACCGGTCTAATTTTAGTATCCACTTATCATACAAACCCTGAACGCTAAAGCAGAAAGTGGTGACAGTAGTAAGCACTTTAGAAAACACAAAATTGGGAGCTCAAAGGCTTAAAACATTGTGTTTCCATTTCTTTTACTGAAAATTAGTCCCCCGAAAACTAACTTCTGCTTTTTGTGCTTCAAGAAAAAATAATTACCCAAGTAAGGCCAAATAAATCATGCTGAACATTTGAAGAAAATTGAAGGGCTTACCTTAAGAAAAGAATTGGTAGTCATTGTTGATGGCATGAGTCCCATAATGAATGAGATAACCATTAGTATCAATCCGGTGAAAAAGTGAATCAACAGAACCACGTTCTGTATAAAAGTTGAATATCTTAGCATTTATAACAAATGTAATTAAAAAAGGAGAAAACAAGATCTCCGCATACCTGAGCCATGGTGTGGTCAAAAAAGAAAAATGTAAGGCAATAGGTTGATGATGCAATTGCAAGTCCATATTCCAAGAGCATGAGGATTGTTGGTAGCAAAGAAACCCCTCCGACAAACTGTTCCAGACCTACATTCAGTACCAAGAATTAGCAGTAACATCCATGATACTGTAAGATAGAAACCGCAAAAAGGGGATTAAGGCATGGTAGTATTTAAGGGATCATACCTATTCAACCACCTGACAAAATCCCAGGTGGTGATGTTTCTAATATTTTTTATTAGTGATAGAAAGTTTAGGGATAGGGCTGGATTGAAAGGTTCTAACATTAAATTAACTAAATATACCAAAAATTTGACTTAAAAGAGTAAAGCTGTCTAAGAAATCAATTTATCTATCATGTTATGCAAAGGCTTTCTCCAATATGAAAAATATATGCAAATAAATAACACTATTATATTTTCCTGAAATTTAGTTGATATTTTAATACACTGGAGAAGTAGGAGAACGATCAAGATATGAGTTAACAAGACTTAGTACTATATCAAGAAAAGAATGAACTAAAAGATAAATAATATAAATGAGAGCTTATTAATATCCTTCAAATATCTCTCAGACCACTAATAGATCATCATCCCAAGTGAGTTTTCCACATTTAATTATCATTCTTTACTTGGCCAAGTAACATGAAAAACACACAAGCATCTATTCCTCATCACAAACCCAACTCTACAGGTTGAACTTAATACAAGAAAAAAACGCACATATTTTATTAAGGATGAAAATAAACAGCTTAAGACCAAATTCAATACTTAACTTTTAAGAGAAAAGCAGTTTTAAAGTACAGGAATCAGGTAAAATACGAATTCAGGAATGATAAAAACATCAATAGCAGTTAATCCAAATAGCTGCACAAAGAAGACAAACCCAAAAGCACTACACCCGGATGACTTCTATTCTGAAGTTGATTTACACATTACATTAGTTACTACAAAAAAAAATGCTGGAAAATCTCCCCTAAAATTAAGATATTCCTAATGGAAGAATGAGGCCACCTCTGTTGATCAATAGGATGGAAAGTGAATACACAGTAAGAATCAGAAAAAATAAAAACTGAATGATTGAGAAAAGAAAAGACAATACTGAAAANTCCAATATGAAAAATATATGCAAATAAATAACACTATTATATTTTCCTGAAATTTAGTTGATATTTTAATACACTGGAGAAGTAGGAGAACGATCAAGATATGAGTTAACAAGACTTAGTACTATATCAAGAAAAGAATGAACTAAAAGATAAATAATATAAATGAGAGCTTATTAATATCCTTCAAATATCTCTCAGACCACTAATAGATCATCATCCCAAGTGAGTTTTCCACATTTAATTATCATTCTTTACTTGGCCAAGTAACATGAAAAACACACAAGCATCTATTCCTCATCACAAACCCAACTCTACAGGTTGAACTTAATACAAGAAAAAAACGCACATATTTTATTAAGGATGAAAATAAACAGCTTAAGACCAAATTCAATACTTAACTTTTAAGAGAAAAGCAGTTTTAAAGTACAGGAATCAGGTAAAATACGAATTCAGGAATGATAAAAACATCAATAGCAGTTAATCCAAATAGCTGCACAAAGAAGACAAACCCAAAAGCACTACACCCGGATGACTTCTATTCTGAAGTTGATTTACACATTACATTAGTTACTACAAAAAAAAATGCTGGAAAATCTCCCCTAAAATTAAGATATTCCTAATGGAAGAATGAGGCCACCTCTGTTGATCAATAGGATGGAAAGTGAATACACAGTAAGAATCAGAAAAAATAAAAACTGAATGATTGAGAAAAGAAAAGACAATACTGAAAAAACACCTATTAGATGTTGAGAGAGGTGACAGAACAAAAGATAAAACATAGCAATGTCAGGGTTTGGCAAGAACAGTGACAAGCTATCCCATAAATGGCTGGAAAATGTTGTGTTATTATGGAAATCACACCAGAGAAAGGTTGATCTTCAAAAGAGAGGGTCCCTCTGAGCGAGAAGGGCACACAAGTGTAGGTGGGGATTGGGTTTCTTATATCAAAAATAGCACCAATCAACACCATTCTAAGGCCAGAAGGGTTATTTTCATTCCTGGGCAGTGATGGTGATGATTTCATGCAAAAGAAGCCACAATTGACACCCGCTTCTACATAAATGCTCCAACAAAGTAATAGGGGATTAGGAATGTGATGCAACAATGCTAAAGTGGTGTAATCACGTGTCAATGACTGAAATGACAGCTATGAATAAGAAATCCTCCAAAGTAGGAAAAAAATACAAGCATAAGCATGATAATATAAATTGTAACATTAGCAATACGTAAAAGGTAAAAAAATGAAATAAATAATTAAAAACCTTTGTTTTTTATTAAAACAAAAAGGGAAACTGTTAGGCATGTAAATAATGAGGAAGAGTAGACTAGGTATTATAGAAGGAATGATAGGATATGCAAGGTTTCTTGTAGAAGGAGAAATAAAAGGAAGCGGTGGAAAAGGTTGTCATAGAATATAAGAATAAAGGAAGTGGTGAATAAAGGAAGGAATGAAAAAATAAGTGGATGCAGTGCTGTCAGTTGGTCTATATAATTAGACCAATCAGTTCCTTGGAGGAGATAATGATAATTTTATAGGTTGAGCTTTAGCTCTTTCTCGAGGGAAAACCCTTAGAGAGAAAGTGGTGTTCTCCTATTTTGTGTTCTTTTCAGTCTACTCAATAAAGAATATTACTCTGTTTCCTCTTCTCAGTTCTAGGTTCCTATCAAACTTACCAAATCCAAAGAGAAGGGAAAATTTTTGAAAGTTGGCGAGCAAGCAAGGAAGGAATTTATGACGGAGATGAAGACAATTTGTCAATTTCCAAAGATATCCTATGGACACGAAGGAGATTAAAGATCTTCTTCAAGATATCAAGAAAGGAAAAAAAAGAGGTAAAGACAGGTTTTGATAGTAGGAAAGATATCTTGCAGGACATGAAAGAGATCAAGGAACTGCTGCAAGATCTCAGGAAAAGCAAGAAGTTTTCCAATGTGGGGAGAATTCAGTGAAGTTAGAAGAAAAGAAGGAAGAACTGCTTGCAAGATCTCAATAAAAGCAAGAAACTATCCAAAGGGGGAAAAACTTAATTAAATTGAAGTAAGATGGAAGAAAGCTATCTCATGGGGAGTAGATCAAATGAGGCAAAGGAGAAGAATGCTAGGCCCTGAACTACCAAATTGGGAAATACCCACCATTTGAGGGGAAGGATCCTCACGGATGGTATCAAGTGCGAGAAGAATTGAGGTTTCAAAATATCACTTCAAGGGAAAAATTGGGTTTGGCTTCCATCAGCATGGAGGAAAATGCAATGATAATTATGAGGTGATGATAAAGTAGATAAGAACAAGGACCCAGAAGTGGAGGACGAATCACATGATTTAAGTACCAAAAGGAAGTTCAGACTCGTGTGATGAATTTGATGATCAAGAATTTGAAGAGTTACCTGTACAAAAAACTCATTGCAAACATTTTACCTTCTGAGATATATGAAGATGCTCTTGTAGGGGTTACTTACAAACATACTGCAACTTTGACTCATGTGGAGGCTGGTGAATATGTTGCTGCTTTGATTCCTAGGTCAATTGTTAATGATGACCCAACGATAAAAACCAATGGGTTGTAAACAAATGACGATGGGAACCGGCTATGATGGAAACTGAACCTTTAAATTTGGCTTGTGCAGCATAACAGATGAGATTACCAGTATTTGCTTACTGTTGATGACTTGATAATAGGTTTCGATGGAATTCTTCAAATTGAACCAAATTCTAAGTCAATTGCTGAATTACAAGATGAAGAATTGAAGGCAGCTAAACCAGAGCAGATTGAAGTAGGGAAAACATTTGTGGAAGAAACAAGATCTCATGGAAAGGGAATGAAGCACTCAGCAGCTTAAATTTCCAGAGTACAGCCTTGAGACAAGGGTTATTCCCGCAAAGGAGAGTATTGTTAGGGCATGCAAATAATGGGAAGAAAGGATAGTATTATAAAAGGACGATAGGATATGGAAGGTTTATCGTAGAAGGAAAAATAAAAGGAAGCAGTGGAAAAGGTTATCATAGAATATAAGAATAAAGGAAGCGATGAATAAAGGAAGAAATGGAAAAATAAGTGGATGCAGTGCTGTAAGTTGGAGTTGATCTATATAATTAGACCAATCAATTCCTTGGAGGAGACAATGATAATTTTGTAGTTGAAGCTTTAACTCCTTTGCAAAGTTTGGAAGGAAAGGTGGCAAAGGTTGTGGGTTTAACTCTACCCACTAACACTTAGGAGTTATAAGATTGGTTTAGTGTGTTTTGGAAGGGAGGGTGGAGAGATTGTGGGTTTAATTCCCCCCACTAACATAATACTAACAACTAACATTTGCCAATCTAAAAGCAAAAAACGTGAATAAACTATTAGACTTGGGTTTGTGATCTATGTTAGTTTTCCCAACAAATTAAATAAGCAGATAAAAACTAACTATTAATAATTATTTGGATACATACCAAAGATATAAAACAGAACTATGGCAACCGAGGCAGGAACCAAGAGCTACAAGTCCCAAATATATTTAGAGCCAATATGACAGGATAGAAACCTATAACAATTCTTCAACATTAGATGATATTCAGCATAATAGAAAAGTAGTATTGAATGCGGTCTCTTTTGACAATTTATATACCGTGAAGAAGTTAACATTTCCTATCTTTTCCACTGCTTATTGTTTTGCTGCTTACTTTCACTTTTCACGTTCCCTGTATCAATCAGATTTATAAATGTTTAGAACATAACAGCAATTCGAAATGTCCAATAGTTTTCACACTCTAGGTCAGAAATTCCCTCTTGTTAATTTCATACATTTGAAATGAAAAAAATATAGACTCCCTTTTAGAAAGGGAAAATTTGAAAATAACTCCACAATTATCTAAGATTACTATGAAAGAAACTTCAAGGAATCTTCTAGGAAAAGTTGTTATGAATCGCTCCTGGACGAAGAAAAAGGACACAATTAAAAAGACAGCAAGCAGAAGAAAGTAGGTTAACCACAACTTACCTTAACAATTGAAACGGCAAATGAGGCAGGTATAAAAGAGAAAGCAATGTTGACAATAACTGCAGCAGAGAAAGCATCCAGATCCTACAGAATTTCATCTATAGCTCATCAATCTATAATTTTCTGTATAATGTAAACGGGATTGGCACATAGCAATATTAATCCATTATTATTTAATTGTGCTGATAAGTATAAAAGTCAGTGTTAGGTGAAAATATGAAAATTAAGAACCATAGAACTAAAAGAGAGCAGAACTACAAAAACATTGCATATAACAAGGCAACGCTCCCAAATCCCAAGGCATGCCCATCATTATTAACAGGATAATGCATCATGAGACTTAAAGAATATCCACTTCGGTGAAATCAAATAAACATAGGCTTACATGACGTTGTAAGCGCTGGCTTTGTGTCGTTTGGCAGAGGGTGGTTGCGTGTCGAATTGTCATATTTGTGTCTTGAGATGCAAGCCTAAGAATCGCAGAATTCATCAAATTGATAAAGGTGGGAGCAGCATGTTGACAAGAACAGTTGTGTAATACAGTGTATCCTAAGCTTCCATCATTACTTTGATCATCCATCACAATTGCCCCATACCTGAATATCAGAACATAGCAGTAAAATAACTATTCTGTCATATAAAAATTGCATTAGGGGTTTTATCCGAGTTGACATGTAATAACTTTATTAAAATAGCAAAAGTATCTGTTCATTATTTTATTGGAAATAACTATAAATCCCAAAGGTACAAAAGTTTAAATAAGACAACTGATCCCCGACAAGCAGACAACAACAGGACCAACATCTGGACACAGCATAGACTCACATCAGGCTTTTACCAAAGCAAACTACATAATGAATACAATTTCAATTTTTGGACGGTGACAGCAAGGAAAAAGCATTAGCATAATATTGACTTTTAAAGTTAAGAGAAATCACCCACCATCTCCATAAGGAAGTATATGTTAGTAACTCACATATAGATATTAACGAAAAAAAAATATAATCATAGATTCCATTAAGGAAAAATTGGCTTCATTTATGATAAAAATAATTTCAGTATAAATCAAAATTTAGCCTACACGTTACTTTAGATTTTCTCAAATTTCTCAGATGGTACACTTCATTTATGTTAGCAACGGGAAACTTTAGAAGCATCAATCTTAAATAATCTACACTAACAAAGTTGAACTAGGGAAAAATGATCAGTGAGCTTTATTCTAAGAAGCTTAACTTTTCTTGTCCTGTATTCATATAAGCACTCCTATTTTCAAATAGATTTTCATTGTCCCTATATAAAATCAGAGACAGAAACATGAAAGAAGGACATGATAATCTCGTTTTCATGGCTACCCAATACTATTATGGATTTTAGGATAACAGCAACTATATGCATGGTTAGCACTAAAACTTTTCATAACAATTGATTGCCAGTTGTTTAAACAGATCAAATCTAAAAATGAAGCAAGAAATTCAAGTTTTCACACCTAGATTGGTAGGATTCATTAAAACTAGACATCAAATATTCACTCATAGAAAGTAGAGCAGGTCCCAGTGTTGGTCCCGCTACTTCCACTGCATCAGCCAATGCTTTTTCTGAATCAGGGAATCTGTATGAGCTCGACTTGAACCTCTGTATCCAACCTCCCATGACATTTTGTGCTACCTTTAACATAATAAAAATTTCAGAACTAGAGTCCACTTTTTTTAGCAGCCATAAGTATATGAAAACAAAAACAAAAAAAAACATAGGAAACAGAATTAAATCAGTGACAAACCTTTTCAGCAATTGGCAAAGAAAAATTAAATGGAATTGGACCTCCCCCACCACCACCACTCAATAGAGGATTAAAGTGAGAAGTTGAAAGGGTCAGCGATTGCTGATCAGGATGTGGCTTGAGCTTAAGAAATAGAAGACCGACAAACAGGAAGAGAGTAGGAATCATTAGCTGGAAAACAATGGTTTTGTGATCTCTGCGAGCAGATATTGCCCTTTTAATGAATAAGGCTTTAAAATGTTGCCAAAATGTTGACCTAGTAATGAGACAACAACTGCAGCACTGCACACCCAAGAAGTTGATAAAACTAAAAAATGTAGCAAAAATTAATCGACAAGCTCTTCCCAACATGGTAGACACCAAACCCGGAATCCTCTTATAATTTCCAAGAATTTTAAGACAACTTATTTTTGTGGAAGCATCATCATTAGTAGGAAGTAAAGCCACAGAGTCTAATATCAGAGAATGGTTATTTTCTTCAAAGCATTCAACCTCATCAGCATCACATCCTGCAACTCTTAAAAATACCTCTTCCAGGGTTGTTACAGATATGCCATAGCTTTCAATACCAATATTGTCTTTTTCAATTTTACCATTCAATTCCATGTTCGAAACTGGTTTTTTCATGCAACCTTCAATTTCCCTAAACATCCTCTCAAAGGCTGATGAGGATGCCATTGGAAGCCTAAAAGAAATCTCAGTTCCAACCTGAAAATGTGTGTTGAGTAAGGATAAAATGGAATCAACAATCATAATCTCATATACAACTAGAAGTGAGATAGACAATTAAATGCTTCACAAAAAATAAAGGGAAAAAAATTATGGCTATGGATACTGTTAAATATGAACTCACCAATATTTACACAATCAATTATCATGTTCATACTGTTCAAGTAAAAAAGTTATGATTTCTCTCATGAACTATATAACATGTAGAAAAAGTAGGCAAGTGAGCATTCATCCATTTCTATTTGTTCCTATTAAATGAATAAGACCCTGTTCCTCTCCATGCATGGCATTATGCCCCACCAATGCTCCCTTGCCCTTTTCTCTAACTGACTAAAAAATGCATATAGTACATTGAGAGCCCCGTTCTCTATAGAAGAAGCGATTCTGAGAATAGGTAAAAGGTAGTTTTAGATAGATTTTACATAAACTCTTCAAGAAGAAGCTTTTTCACATTTTATCACAATTTATACCTGAAAGTTAAAATAGTGCTAATTACAGCTGAGAAGGAGCTATTCGCCTTGCAAATATATATGCAAGAGCACAGCATATGTTCATGAATCTTAAGGATTTAGATCTGATACAGCAATCTACTATCACAACAAAGGAAATGACTGAGACAAGGAAAGAAAAAATCGATATTATTCTTATATGTAACAAAATATATGGTCATTTGTCCATCTCTTTGTATCTTCTTTGTATTTGAGACACTTATATATATACAATAATCCCCTGTTGTAATAAACAGTGATTTTACAAGAACAACATAACAAGAATGAATATATTTTAAAGTTGTGCACTATGTATGTGATGAATTGGTGCTCGTTAGAAAAAAATATTCAAATTTTCAAAGGAATATTTGAATCTGGATCTAATGTATGGTAAAATACTCATCGGGGCCACATTGCTAAACCCAAACAATTTTTTTCTGAAGATATATCTCTAGAACACTAGAGACATGAAAACCAACAAGAGCTAACCTATGATAATTTTATTTTAGAAGAAAAAAACTCTTGATTAAAATAAACTTCCTTCATTAGCACACACATACTCATTACAGAGAGGGAAGATCGATACTCACGCACATTAACATTGACACATGAATACATGTATGATGTTGACATTAACGGGTATCTCAATGAATGATACTGAGGAAAGTACCTCGCTTACACATGTTGCATTTGGAACATGACGGTATACTATATCACTAGCAATGGAAGCAGTGGGAGCTGACTGAAAGCACAAGACAGAAAGAAATACAAATGAAAACAGCTAAAGCCTTTCAATTGTGAACCATCAGAGACTAGAGGAATTAAACACAAAATGATCAAGTGAACAAACCTTCACTAGGGTTAGAGTATAACCAACTCCATAATGATGCTTCAAGAAAAGGGAACTGCCAACAGATCAAACAAACAATTGAACTATGTAAGGAAATATATAATTATTTTCTTAATAAAAACCACACCAATTACATTCTCATCACACCTTTATGTTTAACAATAAATCTCTTTAAAATAAGAAAATAAAAATATGTCAAAATGAATAGAACCCTTTATGAAGATATTTTCTCATATTATGGAGATATTGAAGATATTTTATTCTAACAAACCAGTATTTATAACATTCCTCCTCATGTTGGTAAATAAATATCTATCATTACCAACTTTCTTGGAATCTGCCAAGGAGAAGCCCTAGAGTGAAAATGTCCACTACCTAAAATCCTGTAGGAACATAGGTTGTAACCACAAGACCTCTCTCAAGAGTATCATAATGAAGTGTCTATTAATTTCAATATGTTGGTATGCTTCTAACATTCATCAGCTATAAATGTATTACTGTTATATCTAAGTCAGTTTTTATTTTTATTTCATTTTGTACTAGCCGTGCCATTTCATCACTGCTCTGTACTCTTTATTTTCAGTTGTTTGTAGTTATTAAGAGGTTAGACGGTTTTATAACCATCACTAACAGTTTTGTAGTTTTCTGCCTATTTGTTCTGATGTGTACAAAACGTGTAAAGTACTTTTTCAGTGACAAATTTACTAGAATAATTTTCAGTACGTTCACCCAGTCACAAGACTGTATATTCATATATTCAGATTATGCCTTTTCTTTTTATGGTCAAACTCTAATAAAATGAAATGGAAGAACTCATTGCTAACTTAAAGGGTAAATACACTAAAAGTAATCAAAAGGAAAATTGCGTCCCTAAAATCTGAAGAAAATGCATGGGGTACACAAACCTACAGCATGCCATTAATATGTCAAGCAAACCTGTCTAGTAGATAAAGCATTTAACAAGTATTACTTAGATTTCCAAGTGGACTTGTCAAGAGTAAACTCTCTAGCAGGAATTATCACAAAATTAAAATACCAGGAATCCTTCAGAATAGCACCAAGACATAACAATATCTAAGAAAAAGTGGAAATGAAATTAACCTTCCGCAACATTTCAGAGATCCGTTGGCCATGATCGCTATCCGGTCACCTAATTCATCCGCTTCATCCATAGAATGTGTAGTTAGCAAAATTATCCTGCCCTTCTTAATTTTTTTTATTAACTGCCAAGTCAAGCGCATTGAGTATGGATCCATTCCACTAGTAGGTTCATCAAGGACTATAACCTGTCAAGTAAATCATCCAAAAGATCTATGCAGTTGTGTTCAACACATTAATATAAGAATGTGCTGTCGATGTTGATCCTACCTTACTGTTGCCAATCAATGCAATTCCAAGAGACAATTTCCTCTTCATGCCACCAGAAAGACTTCTCACAATACTGTTGATTTTATCAGCCAGGCCCACCTGTTTATGGAATAATGTTATCTAAAATTCTGTGTTGGTTGGATTGTTTTGCAAGTTAACAATGACAATGCAGGGTTAGTTATTGGTATGTTTTCAGGCTTTCATGATTTGCAGTGGTCTATGATGTCCCAGTTATCCCCCACCCATGGACCCTGAATTCAGGTCATGAGTTCTTTAACTATAACAAAGACCCATACAAAATAGGAATGCCCGGAAGCTTTCCTTGATTAGTAAACAAGCTGAAATCTAAACACTATTTAATATTTTGCATGTGCACTCACGCATAAGTAAATACACATTTATATAACAATAAATTTTATACTTATATTTTACAAACTATTTACAGGACAACTGATCCCCGACAAGCAGACAACAACAGGACCAACATCTGGACACAGCATAGACTCACATCAGGCTTTTACCAAAGCAAACTACATAATGAATACAATTTCAATTTTTGGACGGTGACAGCAAGGAAAAAGCATTAGCATAATATTGACTTTTAAAGTTAAGAGAAATCACCCACCATCTCCATAAGGAAGTATATGTTAGTAACTCACATATAGATATTAACGAAAAAAAAATATAATCATAGATTCCATTAAGGAAAAATTGGCTTCATTTATGATAAAAATAATTTCAGTATAAATCAAAATTTAGCCTACACGTTACTTTAGATTTTCTCAAATTTCTCAGATGGTACACTTCATTTATGTTAGCAACGGGAAACTTTAGAAGCATCAATCTTAAATAATCTACACTAACAAAGTTGAACTAGGGAAAAATGATCAGTGAGCTTTATTCTAAGAAGCTTAACTTTTCTTGTCCTGTATTCATATAAGCACTCCTATTTTCAAATAGATTTTCATTGTCCCTATATAAAATCAGAGACAGAAACATGAAAGAAGGACATGATAATCTCGTTTTCATGGCTACCCAATACTATTATGGATTTTAGGATAACAGCAACTATATGCATGGTTAGCACTAAAACTTTTCATAACAATTGATTGCCAGTTGTTTAAACAGATCAAATCTAAAAATGAAGCAAGAAATTCAAGTTTTCACACCTAGATTGGTAGGATTCATTAAAACTAGACATCAAATATTCACTCATAGAAAGTAGAGCAGGTCCCAGTGTTGGTCCCGCTACTTCCACTGCATCAGCCAATGCTTTTTCTGAATCAGGGAATCTGTATGAGCTCGACTTGAACCTCTGTATCCAACCTCCCATGACATTTTGTGCTACCTTTAACATAATAAAAATTTCAGAACTAGAGTCCACTTTTTTTAGCAGCCATAAGTATATGAAAACAAAAACAAAAAAAAACATAGGAAACAGAATTAAATCAGTGACAAACCTTTTCAGCAATTGGCAAAGAAACATTAAATGGAATTGGACCTCCCCCACCACCACCACTCAATAGAGGATTAAAGTGAGAAGTTGAAAGGGTCAGCGATTGCTGATCAGGATGTGGCTTGAGCTTAAGAAATAGAAGACCGACAAACAGGAAGAGAGTAGGAATCATTAGCTGGAAAACAATGGTTTTGTGATCTCTGCGAGCAGATATTGCCCTTTTAATGAATAAGGCTTTAAAATGTTGCCAAAATGTTGACCTAGTAATGAGACAACAACTGCAGCACTGCACACCCAAGAAGTTGATAAAACTAAAAAATGTAGCAAAAATTAATCGACAAGCTCTTCCCAACATGGTAGACACCAAACCCGGAATCCTCTTATAATTTCCAAGAATTTTAAGACAACTTATTTTTGTGGAAGCATCATCATTAGTAGGAAGTAAAGCCACAGAGTCTAATATCAGAGAATGGTTATTTTCTTCAAAGCATTCAACCTCATCAGCATCACATCCTGCAACTCTTAAAAATACCTCTTCCAGGGTTGTTACAGATATGCCATAGCTTTCAATACCAATATTGTCTTTTTCAATTTTACCATTCAATTCCATGTTCGAAACTGGTTTTTTCATGCAACCTTCAATTTCCCTAAACATCCTCTCAAAGGCTGATGAGGATGCCATTGGAAGCCTAAAAGAAATCTCAGTTCCAACCTGAAAATGTGTGTTGAGTAAGGATAAAATGGAATCAACAATCATAATCTCATATACAACTAGAAGTGAGATAGACAATTAAATGCTTCACAAAAAATAAAGGGAAAAAAAATTATGGCTATGGATACTGTTAAATATGAACTCACCAATATTTACACAATCAATTATCATGTTCATACTGTTCAAGTAAAAAAGTTATGATTTCTCTCATGAACTATATAACATGTAGAAAAAGTAGGCAAGTGAGCATTCATCCATTTCTATTTGTTCCTATTAAATGAATAAGACCCTGTTCCTCTCCATGCATGGCATTATGCCCCACCAATGCTCCCTTGCCCTTTTCTCTAACTGACTAAAAAATGCATATAGTACATTGAGAGCCCCGTTCTCTATAGAAGAAGCGATTCTGAGAATAGGTAAAAGGTAGTTTTAGATAGATTTTACATAAACTCTTCAAGAAGAAGCTTTTTCACATTTTATCACAATTTATACCTGAAAGTTAAAATAGTGCTAATTACAGCTGAGAAGGAGCTATTCGCCTTGCAAATATATATGCAAGAGCACAGCATATGTTCATGAATCTTAAGGATTTAGATCTGATACAGCAATCTACTATCACAACAAAGGAAATGACTGAGACAAGGAAAGAAAAAATCGATATTATTCTTATATGTAACAAAATATATGGTCATTTGTCCATCTCTTTGTATCTTCTTTGTATTTGAGACACTTATATATATACAATATTCCCCTGTTGTAATACACAGTGATTTTACAAGAACAACATAACAAGAATGAATATATTTTAAAGTTGTGCACTATGTATGTGATGAATTGGTGCTCGTTAGAAAAAAATATTCAAATTTTCAAAGGAATATTTGAATCTGGATCTAATGTATGGTAAAATACTCATCGGGGCCACATTGCTAAACCCAAACAATTTTTTTCTGAAGATATATCTCTAGAACACTAGAGACATGAAAACCAACAAGAGCTAACCTATGATAATTTTATTTTAGAAGAAAGAAACTCTTGATTAAAATAAACTTCCTTCATTAGCACACACATACTCATTACAGAGAGGGAAGATCGATACTCACGCACATTAACATTGACACATGAATACATGTATGATGTTGACATTAACGGGTATCTCAATGAATGATACTGAGGAAAGTACCTCGCTTACACATGTTGCATTTGGAACATGACGGTATACTATATCACTAGCAATGGAAGCAGTGGGAGCTGACTGAAAGCACAAGACAGAAAGAAATACAAATGAAAACAGCTAAAGCCTTTCAATTGTGAACCATCAGAGACTAGAGGAATTAAACACAAAATGATCAAGTGAACAAACCTTCACTAGGGTTAGAGTATAACCAACTCCATAATGATGCTTCAAGAAAAGGGAACTGCCAACAGATCAAACAAACAATTGAACTATGTAAGGAAATATATAATTATTTTCTTAATAAAAACCACACCAATTACATTCTCATCACACCTTTATGTTTAACAATAAATCTCTTTAAAATAAGAAAATAAAAATATGTCAAAATGAATAGAACCCTTTATGAAGATATTTTCTCATATTATGGAGATATTGAAGATATTTTATTCTAACAAACCGGTATTTATAACATTCCTCCTCATGTTGGTAAATAAATATCTATCATTACCAACTTTCTTGGAATCTGCCAAGGAGAAGCCCTAGAGTGAAAATGTCCACTACCTAAAATCCTGTAGGAACATAGGTTGTAACCACAAGACCTCTCTCAAGAGTATCATAATGAAGTGTCTATTAATTTCAATATGTTGGTATGCTTCTAACATTCATCAGCTATAAATGTATTACTGTTATATCTAAGTCAGTTTTTATTTTTATTTCATTTTGTACTAGCCGTGCCATTTCATCACTGCTCTGTACTCTTTATTTTCAGTTGTTTGTAGTTATTAAGAGGTTAGACGGTTTTATAACCATCACTAACAGTTTTGTAGTTTTCTGCCTATTTGTTCTGATGTGTACAAAACGTGTAAAGTACTTTTTCAGTGACAATTTACTAGAATAATTTTCAGTACGTTCACCCAGTCACAAGACTGTATATTCATATATTCAGATTATGCCTTTTCTTTTTATGGTCAAACTCTAATAAAATGAAATGGAAGAACTCATTGCTAACTTAAAGGGTAAATACACTAAAAGTAATCAAAAGGAAAATTGCGTCCCTAAAATCTGAAGAAAATGCATGGGGTACACAAACCTACAGCATGCCATTAATATGTCAAGCAAACCTGTCTAGTAGATAAAGCATTTAACAAGTATTACTTAGATTTCCAAGTGGACTTGTCAAGAGTAAACTCTCTAGCAGGAATTATCACAAAATTAAAATACCAGGAATCCTTCAGAATAGCACCAAGACATAACAATATCTAAGAAAAAGTGGAAATGAAATTAACCTTCCGCAACATTTCAGAGATCCGTTGGCCATGATCGCTATCCGGTCACCTAATTCATCCGCTTCATCCATAGAATGTGTAGTTAGCAAAATTATCCTGCCCTTCTTAATTTTTTTTATTAACTGCCAAGTCAAGCGCATTGAGTATGGATCCATTCCACTAGTAGGTTCATCAAGGACTATAACCTGTCAAGTAAATCATCCAAAAGATCTATGCAGTTGTGTTCAACACATTAATAAAAGAATGTGCTGTCGATGTTGATCCTACCTTACTGTTGCCAATCAATGCAATTCCAAGAGACAATTTCCTCTTCATGCCACCAGAAAGACTTCTCACAATACTGTTGATTTTATCAGCCAGGCCCACCTGTTTATGGAATAATGTTATCTAAAATTCTGTGTTGGTTGGATTGTTTTGCAAGTTAACAATGACAATGCAGGGTTAGTTATTGGTATGTTTTCAGGCTTTCATGATTTGCAGTGGTCTATGATGTCCCAGTTATCCCCCACCCATGGACCCTGAATTCAGGTCATGAGTTCTTTAACTATAACAAAGACCCATACAAAATAGGAATGCCCGGAAGCTTTCCTTGATTAGTAAACAAGCTGAAATCTAAACACTATTTAATATTTTGCATGTGCACTCACGCATAAGTAAATACACATTTATATAACAATAAATTTTATACTTATATTTTACAAACTATTTACAGTAAAGGAAAATGCTTATTACAGACTTAAGACTTGGAATAATAAGATTATACGAGTAACAATCTCTAAATCAACTACATACTCCGTACAAATTATCAATAAGCCTTTCTCAATCATACTTATTGGCGGAGATTAAACCTCATTCATAGGCCATGGCCCCTAGATTTTCAATCCTAGTTATAAATATATATGTCAGTAAATTTAAATAAAGAAGTAAAAATATCATTTAATTATTACATTTTAACAAAAACATTCTATTAATTTTTAGTTATCAATATAGAGATTAGTGTATTTATTTATCATCTCGACATCAATTGAAGGATAATTTAAATGTCTTTCTAATAGTTTTTCTTTCACAATGTTATCAAAAGTTTTTCATACTGATTTAAGAATTAAATATACTTTTTAACCTTGCTAATGGATAAAATTGTTGGAAATAACGGATTAATGGATAAAAAATCCTAATACATCTATAATTATTAGGAAAAATATCCATTGAATCTACACATTCTTATCACCTGATTTTTACTTCCAATTTTAAAAGTGTGCTTCTTCCAAATAGAGGAAGTAAGATTGTAATAATTACGAGTATATAATAAAATATTTATTTTCTCTCTTTTCTCAAGTTGGTTATAGAGCTCCAGATCTTGCGGTTTCTATTTCTACTGTCCCCACCACCACCGGCCATGGCCAATCACCAATTTTTTTTGTGTGTACAAATGATCTTCCAAATGTGGTGAGTCCCAACCAGTTTCATGGCAAAATTATTGGCAATGGAGTTTTTACATTTGGAGGATTTAAAAAAAAAAACAATAAACAATTAGACCATAATGACCCTAACTTCAAAATTTGGTACAACGAAGATTCATTGATCTTTATATGGATGTGGCAATCCATAGTAGCTAACATCACACGGAATTATACGTTTTAGTCTTTTGCTAAAGAAATATGAGGTTACCTAAATAACACTTTTTCTCTTAAATGGAATTTTGTTGCTCGATATGACATTGAAAGAAGGTGCTTGATACCTGAAAAGTTTCTCTCTCAATATTAGAATATCATGGATTGTTGAAAGGTATGTGGATTGAATTATATCAATACCAAAATTTGAAGAAGTGCAAAGCAAATCTTGCCACACATGCTGAAGCAGTTGAAATGCTAAGAATTTTAAATTTCTTCATGGTCTGAATCCTGCCTATGACCCTATTAGGGTACAAATCTTAGGGAGGGAAAAATTGTCTTCTCTATCAGAAGTGTCCTTTATTATCAGGGTTGAAGAGACTTAAAGTCGTTATGTTTTCTTAAGAAGTGGATAATAAGCTCAACTCAACCCTACAAAACAAACATGTAAAGTGAGGTTTGCATTCATTTATATACTATAAATTTGCCTTATCGCATAGATGTGGGATTTCCAACATACCCACCTCACATCAAAATTGTGTGGGACTAAATGTTTATAGGTGATCTAATAGCATGTGACACAATAAGTCCAACAAACAACAAATCTTGTTAGAACATGCTTTTAAATGGCTACGATACCAAATTAATTGGACTCTAACTCAATCCTACAAAATCAACTTAAAAAGTATGGTTTGCACCTACTTATATAATGCAAATTTGTCTTATATACAGTTGTTGTGGGATCTCCAACATGCTTAATGGAGAAACCTTTAAAACAAGCTTTGTCATGACAACAAGAAAAGGGGTCGTCCATGGATCAAATATTGGAGGAAAGATTGCTACAGTAGGCAACTTGCACAATATTGTTCATATTGTAAAAGATCTAGGCATAATAAAGAAACATGCTTCAAACTCAATGGGAGAGACAAAGTACTAAAATGCATACGAAGCAACAAAAGATCCTCACAAAAATGGGCAGGCAATACTATCTCAAAACACGAACAAACAAATCGACCCACTGCTAACTAGGTTTTGATATGAAAGCTTATAAGGTGGAACTTAATCATTAAGAACAATGATCGAAGCAGTGAATAAGTCCTGTGGATAGTGTACCTCGTCC